AACAAATCTGTATAAAACAAATCTTACTCAAAAGAAGAATCAAATAACCCCCAATACAATGATACTGAGTGATTTTAACACACCTCCTTGACCAATAGATAGGTCACTCAAGTATAAACAAGGTAAGATTTCAGAAATAAAATGTAATATTAATCAAATGGACCTAACAGAACTCTATAAAATATTTGATTCATTAACAACCAAATTCACTTTCTTCTCTGCTGCACAGGGAACCTTCTATAAAAAAGACAATATTTTAGGACAAAAAACAAGTCTTAGCAAATACAAAACAAAAAAAAAGAGATAATTTCTTGTATAATATTAGATCATAATGCAATGAAATTAGAAATCAATAACAAGATTAAAAAATAGAAACCATTTTAACACCTGAGATTATGTATAAAATTTTGAGTGAGGATCATACCAGAAATCAGTAGAGAAATAAAAAAAATATTTAGAAACAAATGAGAATAGAGATACAATATATCAAAATCTTTGTGACAATCTGAAGGCAGTTCTAAGAGGAAAGTTTTAGATTTGAGTGTCTATATATATATTTTTTTAAAGCAGAAATATCCAAAATAATCTAATATTATAATTTAAAGACCCTAGAACTAGAAGAAAAAAACTAATTACAAAATTAGTAAAGGACAAGAAAAATTATGATTTAAGCTAAAATTAATTAAATTAATAACAAAGAAACAAGACAAAAAGAATTAATACAACAAAGAGGTGGTTCATTGAAAAGATAAACAGGATTGATGAACATTTAGCCAATCTAACCAAAAGAGTCGATCCACATCAACAAAATTACAGATAAAAAAGTAGATATCACCACAGACACTTTGGAAATACAAAGAATCATTAGAAACTATTTTAAAAATTTAAACTATATAAACTGTAAAATCTACAAAATACTGACAAATTTCTTGACATACACAAACCACTCAAATTGAACCATGAGAATAGAGAAAACCTTAGCAGATCAACATCAAGCAATAGGTTTAAACAATAAAAAGCCTTCAAAGAAACACCAAAGATGAATGGATTCTTAGCCAACTTGTACCAGACCTTTAAGAAGAACTAATGCTGAGTATTCTCAAATTTTCCCCTGGAACAAAAAGGGAGAGAACACTGCCAAATTTATTCTATTTATCCAATATTACTCTGATACCAAACCAGACAAAGACATCAAGGAAAGAAAACCACACACTAATATCCTTGATGAACAAAGATGCAAAAATTCTTAATAAAATATTATCCTGCTACATTCAAAAATGCATTATAAGGATAGTACACCATGGTCAACTGAATTTCATCCTAGGGGTACAGAGTTGGTTGAACATATGTAAATCAAAAAATATAATTCACCACAAAATAGAGTTAAGAACAAGAATCATATGATCATCTCAATAGATGCAGAAAAAGCCACTGACAAAATCCACCACCAATGCATGTTAAAAACACTGGAGAAACAAGCAATAGCAGGAACTTACCTGTACTTTATAAACTTACTTTACTTTATAAAGATATATACAACCAATTCAAGATGACATCATACTGAAAATGGTGAAAAACTGAAAGCATTTCATTATAATCAGGAATAAGACAAGGATGTCAACTCTCAACCACTCATATTCAGCATAGTTCTTGAAATTCCTGCTAGAATAATCTAGCAATAGAAGGAATTTAAGGGATATAAATAGGAAAAAAAGAAGTCAAATTATCTCTGCATGCTGATGACATGATCATATATTTAGAAAACCCCAAAAACTCCCAGAAGACTTCTAAAACTGATAAACAAATTCAGCAAAGTAGCAGGATAAAAGGTCAACATACAATAAAAAATATATTTCCTATACTCCAATAATGAAGCTGCTGAGACAGAAATCAGGTTAAGTATTCTTTTCACAGTAACCTTGAAAGAAAATTGGAAGAAAAAAAATCTAACAAAGCAAGTGAAAGATCTCTACAACGAAACTACAGTATATTTTTTAAAATATTAATTGAAGAAGACCTTAGAAGATGAAAGGAATTCCCATGTTATTGGATAGCCAGATTTAATACTGTCCAAATGCCTATACTACCAAAAGCAATATACAAATTTGATGCAATTCCCATCAAAATATCAATGGCATTCTTCATAAAACTAGAAAAATAGTCCTATAATTAATTTGAAAGAATAAGAGACCCAGAATAGCTAAAGCAATCCTCAGCAAGAATAATGATGCAAGATTATACAACAGACCTGTAGTAAAACAAAAAAACAAAAAACCAACAACAATAACAACAACAGAAAAAAACCACCCAATATTGGCATCAAAATAGTCATAAAGACCAATGGAATAGAATAGAATAGCAGGTAGAAAAAGCCTACAGAATGGCAGAAAATCTTTGCCAGTTACTCTTCTGTTGGGGGATTAATATTCAGAATATATAAAGACTTCCCTCCCTTCAAAAAAAAAAAAAAAAAAACATCAAAAAGCAAACAAACCAATACCCTAGTCAATAAATGGGCAATAAAACAAACTGGACATTTCTCAAGATAAGAAATACAAATGGCTAGCAATATGTGAAAAATATTCAACATCCCAAGCAATCAGGAAAATACAACTCAAAACAATATTGAGATTCCTTCTCACTCCAGCTAGAATGTCAAATATCAAGAATACAAATAATAATAAATGCTGGTAAAGATGTGGAAGAAAAGGCACAATCATACACTGTTAATGGATCTGCAAATTGTCAGATACTTTGGAAAGCAGCATGGAGATTCCTCAAGAAACTAGGAATGGAACACAGTATAACCCAGCTATACCACCCCTTAGTATTTTCCAAAAGAATGAAAATCATCATACAATTCACAATATCCATGCTTGGAAAGTTAAAGTCAATTGTTTTCTCTCATGTATGGAAGTTAGAGTAAAATAAGGAAAAAAGGTATGAGGGAGGAACCCATGAAATGGAAGGAACATTAGTGATTGTGAGAAAGGGAATTGAAGATTCCCTATGAGGAAGGGTATAGGAAAAGGGAGGAACTGCAGAATGAAATAGACCAAATTATGTTTGTATATATGAATATGTGTATAAAGGTAATTAAGGTTATACATATATATTAATATATGTATAAAGGTGAAGTCCACTTTTATGTATATCTATAAAGCACAACTTTAAAAATAAATAAATACAAAGAAGATAAGTAGAATAGAGGAAGTGAAATGGGGGAAGGTATAAAGAGGAAGTATTGGGTCCTGAAATGGAGCAAATTATATTCCATGCAAGTATGGTTATGTCAGAATGAACCCACTATTTTGTATAAGTATTATGTGATAATGAAAACACTTTTAAAAAGTATAATTTCAGAAGTGAATAAAATGATTCAAATTGAAAGAAGATATTTTATATTATCAAAGTTAATAGTAATATAATTACAAAGTACTGGGCAGCAGTCATGTAACTAAGGTTGTATACCTGTTATTTTATAGGATAAATACCACTAGCACTATTTTGCAGACCAAGAAATTGAAACTTAGGGAAGTCAGGAGATACACTCACAACATACAGAACTAATAAATAACAGCTGAATTCTAAAGTTCTGTGCCCTTTATACAAACACACAATTTCATTTTATATGACATATAATTTGGTCTCCCTTCTTCAGTTCTCTCTTATCTTCAGTTTCATTTCTTCTATCTGTTCCTTACATTCCCTTCAACCCCTCTAATTTCCCTCCCATTTTGTTTCAAGCCAGTGACAAGGCTGTCATAGATCTTACCACAATTTCATTTTAAAAAGCTGGGCAGCCCACATTAGGAACCTGCATAAAGTCCTTCAGGTTGTACACTCCACTCCTTTTGTGTTTCTCATTTTGCCTCATGAAAGAGGCTGGGCTAACAGAAGAAGGGTGGACCTAGAGGTCTCTACTCAATGTGTACTGTAGGTAAGAAATTCTTTGATTTTCTGTGTTGAGAGAGCATAAAAGTTTTCAGTGGTAGTGTATACCAAAAAAAACCATATATTCTATGTGTTTGTTGATGGGTATATCGTACCTTCCTGTATATACTATTCTACTTTTGAGCATGTTGGAAATTATTTTATAAAATAAATTAAAGTCTCCCTTGTCTGTACTTGCCATTCAGCAACTGTATTCTTTGCTTATCCAATGTTTACTATTTCATGCTCTGGTAAGGAAACAATTTCAAAATAAATCTCAACACAAGGAAAGGTCAATTTCTGAAAAAAAAAAATTATCATTATAAAATTATGTCAACTTAAATAAAGACAATTTACTTAGACATTTTCTTCTTTTTTCATTCTTATCTTCTTTGTATGATACCAATTTCATGTTTATGGGACACATGAATGCAGAGAAAGGGAAATGTCTTATATCTGTCAGAAATAACACATGATTCATATGAAACTCCAGATGGAGGTTCTGTTAGTGAGATATATTCAACAAGCCCCTTGCAGTCAGTATGTAAAAGAATAACCCTCTGTCACAGGCACATCCTAGAGGAGCAATGGACATGGCCCTGCTCCTTGGCTTCCAATGTTGTATCCTAAAGTCTCCAAAATCCCAATTTTATAATCCATGTGGGCAATGTTGCCTTCATTTTCTGATTCTCATATCCTTAATCTTATTTTCTAATTCCTCTGTTTCAATTCAGAGTATCCTCTTTTTCCACCTATCTAAAGAAAACTGTATTTTATTTTCAAAAATACTTCATAAAAGGGAAAGTGAAAATATTTCAGAAATTTTCTGTTTTGAATGAACAATATTTAATATATTTGAAGCACGTTACGTATCAAATTGTAAACTGTCAGAAAGTAATAAACAACCACATAGGTTCTGAATGGGTGCATTTCTTTGTAAAAATATAGTTTACTGAAACATTAAGAATATTACAAAAGCCTTGAATAATTTTTTGAATGAAGTTAAAAACGCACATAAAAATCCACTGCACTCTAAAATTTTTAAAAACAAGAAACAAGTGTCTTACCATTGTGAGAGTAAATGGATGGTTTTCCAATGCAGATACACTGGGACAGTGAAGAATAACATACTGAAAAAGCAACAAACAGATTAATTTTAAATTACTAAAAAAGAAACTCAACTATCCCAATGAAGCTATGTGTACTAATTTTTTATATTTTTTGTAATTACTTAAGAAATTAAGGGTGTTTTTAAAGTTGTTGACCATTGACTCACCTGACCAGGTCTTGCTTTAAAATTTTCTTTGACCATCTGGATTTCCATGACATCTGATGGATGACTAATGACTGAGATGATGGTAACTGGCTTATTGCTCCGGATACACCTATAAAGTCTTTCTGCACAGTATAGGCACAAAGGTCCAGAAATCCAAAGCCAAGTCTAAAGGAGAATTTTCAAAAATATATTTCAAAACACTTAAATTGTAAGTATGTATATTCTACCTGAATGCTTATTTTATACATTATGATAATAACATTTCAGCTTGTATTTTTAATAATAAAATGCAAATTAAAATGAGTCAAAATAATAGATGCTCATTCATTCAAACAAAAAGAGAGTGCAAAATACACTACTGTTGAGACCCAACCTCAAGCCCACACCCCAGGCATAACCACCATTCATTCTTTCTTACATCCATATGTGTACACAAAAATATAATGTATATACACAATTTGTCTCTGTAAAAGAAAATAAAAGCAAACTGAAACCTCAGATTTCTCTAAGGATGGTTTTAGGGAAAAAAAAAAAAGCACCAGTCCAAAGTGTAGTAAAAAGATAATGCGGGGCTGTGGTTATGGCTCAGCAGTAGAAGGCTCGCTCGCATAGCTCATGCAAAGCACTGGGTTCCGTCCTCAGCACCACATTTAAATAAATAAATAAAATAAAGGTATTGTATCCAAATAAAACTAAAAAACAAAATATTAAAAAAAAGATAATGCCTTAGATATTTTAATGCATATTGTGTATATGTATAAAATGCACATATACACAATGCATACACATTTATATGCACATACATCTTTTAAAAATGAAACATTCCAGGCATGTTGTTTACAACTTACTTTTAAATAATATGAGCAGATAATAATACTTATATAAAAACCGTGACAATTTACAACTGGGAATTACCGCCCATGGGGCCAATGTTTCCTTTACAACAGCACACTATATCTCTCTCACCACTTTGAAGCCTCTAACTAAATCTTACTTTAATGGTCATTTCTTAAATCTTATTTACATAGTTGATCCAGGACTCCCCCGTTCCATGAAGTTAGAGTGGGTCTCTTTTTTATAAGTTTAGCCTCACACTGTGTGAAGAATAGACATGGAAGGGCAAGTTCTGCAAAGTAGCTACCTTGAAACTTTGAAACAATTACCCTTTAAGCACCAGGTTCTGCATAAGCAAAGTGGCAGTCCTCATACCTGCCCTGTCCAATACACAGCATTTTGTGAGGCTCAGAAAACTTTTGGAAATAATAAAGTCTGATAGATATCTAGAGGATTATTACTAATAAAACCACAAAACTAGCACATTTATTAAAAAATCTTCTACAAATTCTAGTTTTTGACTTCCAATTCTTCTTTTTGTAAAGTAAAATTTGACATCAGTATTCCCTACCTTCATTCAGAACAGATAGAGCCAGGGTGGAATTTATATGTGGATAGTTCCCGCAGCTACAAGGAAAGATTAGCTAAACTCTTAGCTAAGTACTTGGAGAAGTTTTCCAAGACCAAGCATTTGGTCAAAGAACTAAGTTTGCATTCTAGCTGTACCATTTACTGTCTTAGAGGCTTTGATCAAGATATTTTATGCATTTTAAATACAATTTCTTCATTAGAAAATTGAGGATAACAGTAATTGCTTCTAATAGTCATTTTAAATATTAAAAAAATATATTAATACAGAACATTTCAGCACAGTGCCTAGAATATAAAGCATTCAATAAATCAATTATACCATTTGTCATTGATGATATTGTGTATAAATATTACAATATAATAACATACAATGAAATAATAATTAGTAGTATATAGTTGTCTTAATACTGTTTTTATTATTCAGCCAGCACTTCTCAGTATGCAAAGATCATAAAATTAATAAGCAGAAATTCTGTATAATTTGAAATATCATGTCTTTTGCCTTGGATTACCAGGCCCTGTGTTGTAATAATAGGTATTCTGAAACATCTTATGCATAAAGGCACAGTGTCAAAATATGTCTAAATGTGATGTTGATCAATTGAATGGAGACATAGACTTTGCAGAGATCAAACATACAATTAATCTAACCTGGGGGAAATTAGCTTGGAACTTGGGTTCTTCCACACAAATCTTCACAAATGTTTTCCCCTTAAGCTCTTCTGGTTTTGAAAATCCTCCAGGAAATGGTTCATGAAAATGTTCTGAGACATATTCCAGTGAGGAAATATCCTGATAGTGTGTTTTGTTAAGATTGATGCATCCAGGAGGATGGGTATCCAAATTAATTTGATACTTCAACAGTCCTCTAAAATTAAATTAGAAACACATAGGGAGATTTAAAAAAAAGAGAGAGAGAAAGAGAAAAATTGAAATCAAGGGCTGTAATAAAGGAAAATAATCACTTTTTCTTGCTAAATTTACATTGCATTATCTGAAAAGTGTTCCCTTGTGTCATATTTAGGATAAATCAAAAAGTGTTTAAAATTTTAATAACTTAATTGCTAAGGGACTAAACAAAATCTTTATTACTTCCAAACAAATGCAATAAATACATTGTAGGGAAGAACACTTGCAATCTTTCAAAGTATTTTTAAATTTGACAGTCTTTATTTCAAATCTATTATGCATTTGTGAAATTATATACAAGTTTTCACTTCAATGAACACTACAGTGATGACTACTTTGCAATCTCCAAACACAAAGAAAAAATACAGGGATCATATTTGATTTGGCTAAGACTGAATAAAACATGCCTTACTGAAGTACAGGAAATGTTAAACAAAAATAACAGGAACTGTAAGCTTGTGTGTTCTATGTTCAGAAAACAATTTATACTCAGCAACCAACTCCTAAATCTGTTTTTTTTTTTTTTTCAATCTCTTCACAAACACAACCACATAAAAAGCTCAAAAGAATAAATCTGGTAGGAGAGATCACATCTTAAAATCCTATTCTTTTTGTTTCATATTTTAGGACATTCTAAATTCTGTGTTCTACATTTCTTATCACTGTTGCCTAAGAAAACAATAAAGAAAAAAGTCAGATTTAGAAAAACATTAAAATTTTTGTATTATATTTTATTTTTTAAAGGGTACCAAAAGTAAATTTATTTTCAAAGTTATTCTTTCCTAATTGGCTAAAAATGTGTTAATTTCAGGTTACCTTTCATGCTCCAAATAATCAATTTTGATAGCTTAAGAAAAATTGAAGTGTCACAGAACTGTACTAACTTTACAAAGACAATATTTTATGCTGGAGAGGATGTGAGGAAAAAGAAACTTTTATACTTTTTGGTATAACCACAATGAAAATCAGTATAGGGGTTTCTCTAAAGACTAGGAATGGAATAACCATATGACCCAGGTATACCTCCCCTCAGCACTTTGTCCTGAAGAATTAAGGTCATAATAATACAAATTATTTATAGCAGCACAATAGCCAAATTATAGAACCAGCCTATGTAACAGATGAATGAATAAAGAAAATGTATATATAAACAATGGGTTTTACTCAGCCTAAAGAAGAATGAAATTATGTCATTTGCAGGAAAACAGATGGAACTTGAGAACATTGTGTTAAATGCAATAGGCTAAATTCAGAAAGACAAGGGTCATATATTTTCTTCATACGTGTAATGGAGGAAAAGGGTAAGGTAGGGGTCTCATGAAAATAGACGAGAGACCAGAAGAATAGAGAAAGAGTACCAGAGGGAGGAACAAGTGAAAAAGGAGAGGTACTTGCAAATGAAATTGACTAAATTATATTATTATATTGCATGCATGTATAAATATGTAACAATGAATCTCAGTAGTATGTATCATTATAATGAACCAATAACTTTTTAAAAACTGATACTTTTTTTTAAATCAAAAGTTAAGAGCATAAACAGTAAAACCATTAGATTGAATATGTGATGGTGGGAAGGCAAAGGCCAAGGCGTGCTGGCATCTGCCATCTGTCCAGTCTGATCACCCCCCTTTTTCCCTTTTGATCACAGTAAGTTCCCTTTCTCTAGTTATTTTTATTTCACTCTGTTCCTTAAAACTATTCATCATAAAATCATAAGAAAGCATTCAGTGCATGTTAAAGGCATCTAATTACTGGGCTGGATTATATGGCATTCATAGGGACCACACATACAGATAACAACTTTTAAAGGAATACAGCAGACACAGCCTACGTATTGAATAAATTAATAGAAATTAAATCTGAGCCAATATTTTTGTCATTAGTCATTCACAGCATTATTTTTATAGAATAAAATTATGTACTATACTTGGACAACCCATTCATTTGATTCAGTTTCCATTACAACTAATGATTTATCCAAACATGTTGTTCTCACTGGTCATCCCCATGGTAAGTGGCTGACAAGTAACTCTGTCAAAAATTTGATTCATGCTACTGCTCATAAGTTGAACAAACACTGATGTGATATACATAGCACTGTTCTAGGTGCTAGAGTTCAACGAGGACTGAATTCTGCTCCCTAACCCTCCAGAAATTTAAAATCTACTTTGTAAGATATCTTGGAAGAAGATAAACTTAAGTCAAACCACAGATAATAATTATTATAGACTCTTAATAATAGTTTCATAAGGTATGGTAGACTCCAGGTCCAGGACAAAAAGAAATTTTATTCATATTCATATAATTCTTGAAAAATATATGAACTTGAAATATTATTCTAATTTTACAAATTAAAAAATTATTTTAATTATTACCCTACTGTTACATAGCTGTGTGTGTGTTTGTGATAAATAACAGAGCTAAGATTTGAACCAAGCTCACTCAAATTCTATATTCTTCTCCTCTCATAATACAGCACTTTAGGTCACTGGATCTTCACAACCTACTACTGAAAAAGGTAGGAAGAAGGAAGATTAATACTTATTAACAAAGGAGCACATTTATAATTTTTTTAATTAACAAAGAAGCATGTTGATGATTTTTTAAACATCTCTTTTCATTAAATAAACCTCAAAACAAAATAATCATACTAGGCGAGAATTTTTCCCCCATTAAAAACATGAAAAAACCCAAGGCTTTTATTCAGATAAATTAACTAGGTGGTAGTAAAAGTATGGGTTTTAGAAATCAAGTTGCTCTCACTACGTGAAAAGCATGTCAGTGGCTTAAGAAATGGATGTCAAAGATGTTCAAAATGAAAAAAATCCTTTGAAATAAGGCTAGCTCTGTCTCTGTTCCCCCACTCCGTGTGTGTGTGTGTGTGTGTGAGAGAGAGAGAGAGAGAGAGAGAGAGAGAGAGATTGCACACATGCATGCACATGCATGCTGGAAAGGAGTAGCTTATACTTCAGGGTCTTAATTTCAGGCACAGGAATGCTGTCAGTCTCTCCTCCCGAGTCCTAACAATATTCAAGTGACATAACCATACCATGTTCGAGGTCCTCAGAATGGTGGTATTGCTGCTATAAATTATACCTCTTAAGTCAATAAAATAAATACTGCTGCTGTTGTTGGCATATAATATCCTAAAATTCCCTTTAATTTTGAGAGTTTTATGTTATTTTAAGGTATGTTCAAGAAAAATAACACAGGCTATCTCTAAAAAAATTTATTAAATTTTTTCTTATTTTATCTTAATTGGTATTTCTGTCATCACAAAAGTGTGAAAAATAATAGACGAATAATGAAAAATAGCATTCATAAAAAAAAAAAAAAATCCAGTAGAGAATCTCAAGTTTATTGTGCTATAATTTGCTGGTGAAGATACTGAAAGTTTCACTGGGGAGGGCCCTGGCAGGTTCTAAACTCAGCACTCAAAGGACAGATGCTGAGCATCCCAGACAGGTGTTGGTTGCTTCCAGGAGCATTTACACAAACTTATATCAAGTGTCTGTGGTAAAGAACTGTGGCTCCATCCTACTACGAGTGAACAGGTCTAGAGCGGTTAGTAATCTGCCCAAAACAACGCTGCTAGTGGCAGAGCTGAAACAGAAAACCCAGGCAGTCTGCTTCCAAAGTCTGAATCATGCTCCTTCTGCTATACCAAGCCTCCTCCCCTTGCAGAACATCCACTGTATTTTATGAAAAAAACCTGAAACTGAAGACTAATAAATGCATTGATCAAAATTTTACAGCTCTACATGCTTCCAAGTTTTAAAAAAGGAGGCAACATATTTGTACCAAACCAATAACTTTACGTGTCATTTTTCAAGTTCAACTGAATGCCATAACTTCATTTATTACTAGTTAAAAACAAAAAGTGTCCATTTCTTTGTCACCAGTATAAAATTTCTTAAAATTCTTATAATATTTATTCTTAAAATAAAAATTCCATTAAAACCATATTATAATAGAAATTAAAACAATCTTTCTGAAGAATTTTAAATAGGAATGTAAACCCAATATTAGGAATATTCAAATTGATGGATAAAATCAGATACTGTTTCTAAGGGGCTGCTCAAACTTTAGGGTCTTCACCCTGACAAAATTTGTGAAAATTTGAGGTATTTATGTAGTTTTTACTATTGTTTTGAATCTCCAATACATTTATTTAATTCAGCAGATATAACATGCATGTCTTCTCAAATACAACAGAGCCCACTTAAGTAGCTTGAAGCTTATCTGTCACTCAATACTCACCCTACATTTTGCCCTATATCACCACCAAGATATAAAACTGCGTAATCTAGTGACAGACTCTCTCACAGAACTTTCTGTGATGGTGAAAAGGAAAAATTCTGAACTGTCAGTAGTTACATGTGGCTATTAGGTGATCAAAATGTTGCTTGTACAGGTGAAAAACTGAAATTTTTAATAGTTCAATTAATTTAATGGAATATCTATAACAAGGATCTAATGAATATAATCAAACATGAAAGCAACAAGAATACAAAAGCAAACTATTAACGATATATGGACATATGTAGACATTCTAAGAATAGTAAAGATGAGTGATGAACTTGGATTATGAAATCCTGGAAAGAACTTACAGAGAAAGGTAATTGAAGGATGTACAGAGTCCAACAATTATAGGATAATGACATTCTAGTGTGAGGAAGCAGGCGGCACAAAGTCACATGTTTTTTTTCCCCATTATTAAGAGAAGAGACCATGTCTTATGCATTTATGCCTCAACTATTCATATTCTACCAAACCCCACCATCCCTTCAGCAAGTTTCTTGTATTTAATATATTTCTTATGCCTTTCTTATGCATTGATTTTTAAAGCAAGCAATTACCTCATAATTTGTTTTAATAAGGCATGCACATTAGGAATCAAAATAGGAAAAGTTCTTATATGTATTTTTGTAGCTTTCATAAATAAATGATCAATAA